GGATAACATGAAGTAGAGGGGCTGATTTGCCATGGTTTCTAGTACAGGGGCTGATCTGCCACAACATGGCTGGTAGAGGGGCTGAATTGCACCTTCTGCCTACCTCAAATTGAATGGAACTTAGGTGGAATGATGATATGATATATTTTTTAATAGTAGAAGGACAATAATTAATAGTAGGATTTTTTTAATTTAGATTTTAGAGGCATAAATTAAGAATATATTAAATATTTTTTTTATCATATATATAAATAATATATAAAGTAAAAATTAATATTAATTTTAATATTAAATAAATTTAATTAAATAATTAATAAATTAAAAATTAATTTTTATTTCTTTCTATGGTAGAGGAACGACAGTTAGAAAAAAAAGGGTAGAGGAATCACAGTTGGCTTTAACACTCCATTTCACTAGTATCTACTATATATGCATCTTCCAAGGAGTATGACTTTCTCATTGACTTGCGCACTTTGTGTTCTCTCTTATCCTTGGCCGGCTCAATTCTTCTTATCAGAAAGAAAATTTTCGCTTTGCAGTCGCAATAAGCTACTTCTAGTTTTTGCTTGGCCCTAGTATCTCAACTTCCTTTAATTTCTTCTGTTAATCCTGCAAGTACACTATCTATTTAGTTCTTCACTCTTGATTTTGTTATGTCCTCTTTAGAGAGTATATATATATATATATATATATAAAATGAAAATGTCTCAGTTTTGTTGCGGATCGCATGATCTTAGGAGAAAAGACGCTTCTTTTCAGTTAGATTCTTTTTTTTTAAATTGTTTGTGTTTACCTTAATTAGAAGCTAAGCTACCTTATTAATCTAGAAAATTCTGTGTTTTTTTTTTTTTTTTGTTTTTTTTGGGTACTCAAGGTACATGTAGACATTTCTCCAAGTGACCATATTGGAATCATATGCTACTCTTCTGGGAAATATCCATCAACCCCTCTGAACAGCAGAATTAAGCTAGCAGTTGCAGATTTGCTGATTTGCTGCGTATTCTAATTTGCTTGGCCTAATTTTGGCACCAGTGTCCAACATTCTTTGATTTCTTTTGCTAAACCTGTGGCAGGTATGCCATCTATCTAGATCTTCAATTTTAGATTTCTCCATTGGTGCACAATTTGATTACCTTAGATTTCTTGCTTTCGATTGATTGCTAGTTCAGTTTTTTCATTTTTTTTTTTTAAGTGGCAAGCTGAGTGATGAAAAGAGCTAGTGACAATTTTCCCAACCCTTTTCGGTCTCACTTTTTCATCCTATTAGCCATTAGTTATTCCTATATCTTGCATGGTTTTTGAAGTTGTTGTATACATTCTAATACACATAATGTTTCATTTTATAGGGTCTTCTTCAATGGAGTGTCTAGTAGAGCCTATCAAGGAGCTGGTAAAGTGTTTGTGGAGGTCAGCTTGCACCTATGTAGATTATCACTTAAATCTTGATGAAGCTGTGAGTGATCTGAGAAGAGAATGGGGAGCTCTAAACAGTCGAAAAGAGAATATAATTTCAGAAGTCAAAAATGAGGTTCTTTGGGGGAAAGAAGTAAAACATGAAGTGCAAGATTGGCTTGAACGTGTAGAAAAAATCAGGAAGGAAGTGCAAGCCATTGAAGAAAAGATTCAGAGAGTAAAGTGGCACACACGGGGTTGTCTTGGAAAAGATGTTTGCAAGAAAATTAAGGTGGTGAAAAAAATCTATGAACAAGGTTGTTTTCCTGATGGTCTCGTAGTTGATAGACGTCCAACCTGTGGAGTCATCATGTCAAATGATAATCTAGTGGGTGAAGATTCTGCAAAAGAAAAAATCAGGGGATACTTGGTGGGCAATGAAGTTAGAAAGATTGGAGTTTGTGGGATTGGTGGGGTTGGAAAGACTACTATTATGAAGCATATCAATGATGAACTGGTGAGGGAGGCTAAGTTTGATAAAGTGATTTGGGTCACTGTATCTTACCCACTCGATGTAATTAAATTACAAGAAAATATTGCTCGTGCTATTGTTGGAGATGATAAACAGAGACTCCTTGGAGGTGAGGATAAAGAGGGGCGGGCAGCTGTATTAAAGAGTGTTATGGGAAGAGTAAGGCATGTGCTTATCCTAGATGATGTTTGGGAAGTGTTTTCTTTGATTGAAGTGGGAATTCCAGAACCAACAATTCAGAATGGAAGCAAAATAGTCATCACTAGTAGATCCATTGATGTGTGCCAAGAAATGCTCTGTGAGATAGTCAAAGTGGAGCCCCTTTCATTTCAGGAGTCTCTCAACTTATTCCTAGATAAAGTTGGGCATCATGTTCTGCAAGTACCAAATTTAGAAGGAATCTTGAAGCTCATCGTGGAGGAATGTGGTGGCTTACCACTGGCCATTGTTGTGATAGCAGAGAGTATGAGGGGAGACGATGATGTTGAAGTGTGGAAGAATGCCTTAAATGAATTACGAGAACGGGTAAAGAGTGTGACTGGTTCAGATGAAAAGATATTCAAGAGGCTAAGGTTTAGTTATGATCGTTTGCAAAATTTTGACATCCGAAATTGTTTTCTCTACTGCTCCTTTTTTCCTGAAGATTATTCCTTTTCAAGAGAAGAGTTGATTGAAGGGTGGATCGATGAAGGATTAATTGACGGGTGGGCTAAAAGAAAAGAAACTTATGAGAGGGGTCATGCCTTTTTAAATATGCTAGTAAAGAAGTGCTTGTTAGAGAAAACTGTTATTCGGCATGGTGATGATGTTTTTAAGATGCATGATGTAATGAGAGACATGGCCATACAAAGCATTGGTTCTGAATTTGGTTATATGGTAAAAGCTAGTATGAAGTTGACAGAGGTGCCAGAAGAGCATGGGTGGGGAAATGATCTTAAGAAGGTGTCTCTAGCAGGGAATAACATATCAAAAATTCCCCCTGGGTTGTCCCCAAAGTGTCCAACTCTTTCAACTTTGATATTGTCAAATAATCGTAATTTGTCAGAGATCCCAGAATCCTTCTTTGAAGGTATGCTTGAACTAAAAGTTCTTGATCTTTCTGAAACTGGCATTGAAGTTTTACCTAATTCCATCTCAAACTTGGAGAAGCTCTCTTCCATGAGGTTAAGATGGTGTGAGAGGTTAAGGTATTTGCCTTCTTTGGCAAAGCTTAGGGCATTAAAGAAGTTGGATCTGGTTGGTTCTGGGATTAAGGTGGTCCCTCAAGGCATGGAGAAATTGACTAGTTTGGAATATCTTGATTTAGGTTATAATCTGGAAGAGAGTCTAGAGAGTCCAGTGGGAATGTTATCAAACCTTTCCAAGCTCCAATACTTGTCAGTTTATGAAGGATTGGAGATAAAAGGAGAAGAGGTTGCGGGATTGAAGAAGTTAGAGACCTTGGAATGTGAATTCGATGACATACAGGGCTACAATCATTTTGTCAATTCTCAAGATTTTCGAATTCTTACTGACTACGGGATTGCAGTAGGACCATTCGGCTCTGAACATGACGATGACATTCACCAACAGAAACCTGTGGTTAAAATTCATCATT